CTGCTACTACTGCTACTACTGCTACTACTGCTACTACTGCTACTACTGCTACTACTGCTACTACTGCTACTACTGCTACTACTGCTACTACTGCTACTACTGCTACTACTACTACTAATAAAAGGAGAGCGCTTGGTGAGCGATCCCCCGCGTTTTTATTTCTCCTTCTCCCTAGCCTCCCAACGACACTCAGAGGCCTCTCTCTGGAGGAGAGAGACACAGAAGGCCTTGGTCAGTGACAGCCAAGGCCGTCAGACGCTTTTTGTAGATTGGCGCCAAAAAATCAGAGTAGATTATATTATGATTACCAGCTACAGTGGATTCAACAAGGGTAGCGTAAAGTGAAGGGAGGTGGGGGAGGTTCCTGATAGGGGCAAGACGCCTCTATCTAGAAGCATATACCGGGCGGGGAATTAGGGAGGGGGCGCGGAGGGCGCCCCTTCCTCTTCTCAGTTAGTTTTCACCAATCCTTAGCCAGCCTAGACCGTGACTCCGGGAAGGAGGGGGGGGGGCTGAGGGGGGGAGGGAGTTACTTCCTTATAAGAGGCTAATGGGGATGTGCTGCAGGATGGGGTCGCATTTTCACGAATGGATTGACTATAATGTGGTTGCATTTTCAACAAAGTTACTAGGAAGGGGTCGCACATTTTCTGATTTTTGGGGTATGACAGTTTTCCTATTTACGGTTAGCAAACGCACCAGAATGTTTGTACTGTAGGTGAAAAGTAAAGTGTTCTTCATTCAGTACAAGGTAGATACATAAATAGAAAGTGACTAAGCTGCCGGATCGCCAAAATTACATGTTTGTCCAAAAGTGACTAAGGGGTCTATAATTGGCCACAGAATATTCTATAATGGGGTACGGGCTCTGAAAGCCCAGCAGCACATACCTAGTAAAAATTAACCCAATTTATTCGATTTTGCCTCTCTCTGATTTGCCTCTTCTCGCACCATACGCCATTTATCTTTCTTTATTCAGTTAAAACATGATGTTGAAACAAAATCCTTTGGGGGAAATTTACCTGTACACTTTAAAAACTGCACAGTTTTTTCAAGCTAGTACGCGTTCTGAGCACATGGTGAACGCCTCATGGCTTCATGATTAATCTCTCTCTCTTTTATTACTCACGCACGCAAAGTGTAAACAATGGTATATTTGACAAAGAGGATGTGAAATTTCATGAAATTTTCATTCTTTGCGCCAAAACATGTATTTAAAAATATGCTGCAGGGGACAATTTTTGGACGGAGGTGCAAGATTGAGCCTTGAAAGAGGTTTTTTCGTCTATAAATTTTCCTCTGTTTCACTTTTGCTCGGGAAAACAAAAGTGAAAAAAAAAGTAAAAAAAGTAAATGAGTGCCGACTGTATAAACAGAAGTATATCATTATAACTAATAATCAGAAACCGCAAGTTTGCAGACGGCTTTAAGACAGTCCGCTTCAGAGACCGGCCCTTTTGATTTTTTTTTGTCCTATTTTATTTCTTGTCTTTGGGGAAAACCGCCGACATACAGTTCTTAGCTGGCATTGTCTTGCTTTGAAATCTAGTGTTAATTTCATTTATTTCGGACAGTGGACGTGCAATTTTGTGTTCGCTTTGAACCTCTTTTGTAATTATCTTTGAAGATTTTAAACCCTGCGACGGTAAACTGGTCACGTTTTTATCGCTGATATTATTTTTATTTCAAGTGTTTTCATTTATTCCATTCCATTCTTTTTCTGATTTAAAAAGACAAAATTTAAATATTTTCGGAAAATTAACATGGGACGTGATTCTGAGAAAGAAAAAAAAATACCGTAAAATTGTATGTCAAACCTAACATCTCTCGCAACTTGTTATTGAAAATGTGTAAGATATAATAATGTGTCACGTTTGACATCATGTTATGGGTTTCATAACGAATTTTACTTGATTGATCGTGAAAAGAAAAAAAATTAAATGAAGTAATAAATCACCGAAAAAGTTTCACAAATGAAAGCGAGGCCCATGGTGACGTCATTGGAGATGTGGGGGCCGGGGTTTTGTATTTCCTGCAACTCACATCGTCTGGTCTACATGTAAAACAGTATGAAAGCGCGCATGCTGAGGGAATGTTTTCCTAAAACATAGGAAAAACAGTCTTTTCTTTTCGACCCGCTATGTGAAAGCCTGCGCATTGTGATCGATCGAAAAGGCAGTCGAGCATTTAGTCCTGTTGGCCTAGTATGTCCCAGTTTAAAGTTGAAAGAGGTTTGTGAGTTGTTCGCTCGCGCGAGACGAACTGATATTTCATTCATATCGGTATGATTGAAACCGCTCTCAACGGGAACGGTTTGTTAGGGCTGAAATTAAAGTGAAACTTCCCCTTGAATTTTCTGTGTAATTTTTCTCTTTTGCAGTTACCAAAGTAAAAGGACTGACTGATTTGTCGGATAAAGCCAAAGTCGGCGACAAGGCCGAGCTCACTGCCAAGCGAAATCGAGGACCTACAACCAGCAATGAACGCCCAGGATCTTCAAACGGAAAACACACTTCAGTAAAGGTAGGGAAAAATCTCGAAAAATCACTGGTACGTTTAATTTTGATTTCATTTGTAATCGTCAAACCTTGAAATGTGCGTACTGTGCGCGAAAGTGCTTGGAACCCATTGGTTTTGTGAGGAGAATGAACAAGCTGTATAGTTGTGAATTTTCGCATCGAAATCTGCGATCGATCTTTCCATTGCTAAATAATATTTACAATATTTGTTATCAAACCCGTGTGGTATTTCCCACTGGCCATTTCTATTGCCTCTCGCAGCGATTTTCGCTCGCCAGCTTTAAAATGATTGTAGATAAAAGATTTTTAATCTCGGCTTTCTCTAGATGAAAGTAAGAAGTTAAGTTCCGCGAAGCCTTGCCCAGCAAGGATATTGACAGTTCTTCTTGGCATTTGTATAGGAATTCTGCTTTGCAGCTAGCGATTTCAGAGATAAAAGGTGGCAGTGTTCTGTTTTATGTGGGAAGAATCTTTGGAAAGCCTTCGTTTGCACCCTTCTGCGCGAATATTGTTTGAACAAACAAAGTTTGATTTTCGTTCAAAATCTGACTTGTTCGTACGCTTTAATAGCCGTAGCGTACACAGTAAAGTCTTTTCGCTAAAACTCAAAGATAAATTGCTAAATATCGCTCTACGTCTGCAGCCGCCTTTCCTATTAGAAAGTAGTTTTTTGTTTTAATGACTGGGGAAAGTAAATTCACTTTCGAGTGTTTGATTTTTCAATTTAACCGTGTTGACATTTTGTCCGTGTCAATAGATATTATTGTAAAGAAAATTTGTTCCTTTCAAACCGTGAGTGACAAACCCTTTAAAATCATTTGTCACCTCTTGCTTTATCCTTAAAAATACACCTGGAATCGATATTGTGAAATAAGCTCAATATAGTCTTCATTTTAACATTTATAACAGTTATACTCCTTCCAAAATACAGAAAGACGATCAATGATCTTTTACTTAGCTTGTTTGGATTTAAATTGCAAAAGAAATTTCTGAGCGTTGCTGAGTTTTGACTCTGTGCAAAAAATGTTAATTTCCGCACTGAACATTTAACCATTTATGGCACTAGACAAGGCAATGTACAACTTGTCACTTAAAGAGTAAATAAATGTAGAAATCCTGTAATCTTGAAATCTTGCGCATTAAATACAGGGCCAAAGTAAAGTTGAAAGTTCTCTTTTTAAAATGTTATTAAATTGTGCGTTATTTAGCTCACAGCAAATGTATACTTGATTGAAAGAATATTTTTTGTGCTGATGACTGTGTTTTACTTG